ACGCTACAGTACACAAATGTGTGTGTGGCAGACAGTTTTACATGCATGATGAGGACAGTGGTTTTCTATACAATGCTCTCTGTGGTTCAGCTGCTTGTTTACTGAATGCCATGCTAATGTACTTGTAGGTCACAGGGTTCACTCTTACCACGTGGGCCCTGCTGTCCTCCATCATACAGCCCTCTCATGGCCTATTATTCACCTGTAATTATGTTATCTTAATAACCACAGAATAACTATGACTTCCTTTGTATCTCCAGTGTGTCAGTTTTCCTCAACTTCATGCACTGTTTCCAAAGCAACTAATTGTTGTCATTATGCCAGGCTCGGATGATCTCTGACCTTTTCTTGTGACCCATATTGACCTGATTATGGTTAATGATGGAAATTATGAACTCAGACCTACATTAAGAAAGAAAGAGAGAGAGGGAGAGAGCAGCTTCAAATGACTGCTGTCGTTATCAAGTGCAGTTTCCGGATCCTGGTACTGTAAATCTATGGCTTAAATAACCATCCTTTCTGGTCTTAGCTCTCACTGGTTTAGCATTCCTTCCACAGCTGACAGAGGGTGGAAATACTTGAGCCATTTGGAGAATGCTCCCAGTGTGACATCCCAGTTACTTGTAGAAAAGTGCGAGGCCAATTTAAGCCCAAACATCTGTCCTGTGGTTTGGGCCTCACACATTTTAGCGGGCACAGTGGGCTTTGTCTGGCTTCAAGCTCTCACATTGCTTTTCCTCTTTGTCATTTCATTAATATCTTCCCTAAGCAGCAGTTCAGGCTCATACTCAGCAAAAGGGGCAGCGAGTGTTAGGAGATACAGAGTTCGTCTTGTACATTTTGGTGGGAAGAAACAGGCATTGTGTACTCGTACTCATCTGTATCCCCATGGGAAATAAACAGCAACTAAATCAGTTGTTAGCTTTGTGTGTTATCTTTAAAGATGAAAGGACACTGAAAACAATGAAACCGCTGCCCTGGGGTTTCTGTAGGAAGGGAAAAAAGCAACAACTGGAGAGAAGAATGAGACCTTTGATCTGTGCAGTCAGACCCATTGAGTTAGTCTGAGACTGTACCCAGAAATAGAGAAGACAGGGGTCAAGTCCCACGTCACTGAAAGACATTGCAGAACTTTTTTGTGTATAGTCATGCACCTTATTTTAGAGATATGGGTAGGGATATTAGATTATTTTTTAACAAAAATGAACAAGTAGAACAGATTTTGTGTTATTATACTGTACAATGCAAAACCTGGCTCTTCTGCTTTCTAGCTATGTCTTATCAAAATGAGATGAAGGGTGACGCTAGGTTCATGCCAGCTTTAACAAGATGTTACTTCCAGTGGTATGATCATTTAGCCCTCCTTATGGCCTAGTAGTCAAAGCACAACGCTTAATTGCAACATCGCAATTTTGATTTTGACTGGAGACCTTGGTTGTTCAGTATTTCCTTCTTCTTTCAAGCTCATTAAAACCTATTTCCATCACTATTTTTCACATTATTTTCACATACTGTAGGATAACATCTCTGCTGAAACTGCCTCATTTTGGAATGTCTGGTTGCTTGTGTTTAGTTTTGGGATGCTGGTAGCCGGTGGTGCAGTCACCGCGGTCTGTCCTGTCTGTTCTGGTTTCATGAGCAGAGAGAGTGAATGACCTATATACTTCTCTGGGGGAGGGGAAGTCACCTTGTTGGTGGACCAGCAGGCGAGCAGGCTGGCACACAGCGACAAGGTTTAAATGTGTGGCACTATTAAAAGGTTGACCACTGACTTGAGGCATACTGTACTATAGAGGGCCATCTCATATGCTGCTCCTGTTGTTCTTGGCCTTAAACATTTCAGAGCCTGAATCGTCTTCTTGTTAACACTGCTTTGTAATAGTGTAAAAAAGACCAATGTATGGGATGATATTCAGTAGATTAACATGATGAAAAACACATCTTGACATGGATTGGATTTGTGCATGCACAAGTACACACACACTTGCACTAGCTGAAACCATGGGACCCAGTGCCAGAAAGATCCAGTCAGACAAACACCTCACCAGAGACTCCTCTAAGCATCCTAACAAATTGAATGTGTGTGTAGATGGACAAGAGGGAATTAGATCAGTGGTCCTGATTGTATCTGAGTGTGCTGTTGCTGTACCCCTTTCCAGCTAGTTCCCTGGAGGAAATGTGTGTGTGTGAGAGAGAGAGCGTGAGGAAGAGAGACAGAGGGAGACAGAGAGCTTGGCAGCCGGTTTGATGAAGGATGTAAGGAGAATGTTAACCAGACAATCACCTTGCATGTTATTGATTGAGATGGGAGAGAGGTAATTAGCACAGAAAAGAAGGGGAGGCTGTGGCCACTTTTAGTGTTTTGATACAAGGTGTTCTTTCTTTGTACCCGTCCACATGTTGTGTTCTTTGTGTGCCTTTTATGTGCATGGGAGGTGTCTCGATATTTTTGTCTTCTCCAGCTACATACATGACCAGGGTCAGAATATTAGGAACACCTTTTAATATAATGTATTCCAGTGCAACACCATCTATGGCCTCAGTAATAAACACACAATTAAATTTATATATTTATGACATTTTCACCAAAAACCAAAGCATTTTGAGATTCATAAACACAGATGTTAAGGCGGAAATGTTGCATTGAATTGTAAACAATTAAGTGGCCGGAGAGTGTATAAACGGTACATAAAACCTTAAAATGCTAATTGTCAGGCATACCTGCATGAGTTTTGTCTGCCACAGAATAAAACCAAGAAGCCATGGAAACAGCTGTGAGCTGAATTCTTGCTTATTTTACAAAGATCTTCTAAAATGGACTGAACAAAATTATAGAAATGGGCAGAAGAGATTTTTTTTTTTGAGGTCAGTAATCAAGGAATTTAAGCTGATTATTTGATTAGTCGTAATGTCACCAAATCAGTTATCTGTTCCTGTCACACAAGCATCTAAATACACCAGATTTAGTATTTCTTTGTTGTTGCTCTGTCTTTTTTGCTGCTGAAGCTCAACATTTTTGTTGTGATGTTGTAAATGATTCATCAACGAGTTGGTAGAACCGTAGAAAGATAGCTTCATTCCTCATAATGAGAGCTGAACTTTGTTGTGCAACTGAGTAAAATAACGTCACACTTCACTTCGGGTTTTTTGCTCAGTCTGCCAACATATCTCCCGCCTGCTGTCCATGGAGACTGTGTGTGTGTGTAGCACACGGGCAGAAACAGTATCATGGACACTAGTTCTGCTTCTCTACAAAGTAACAAAGAAATGTCTCCAAAACGTCATTCTAGTTTTTAATCATTATTTGAGAGGTGACTTTCCTGATTAATCGAACAGTCAATTATTCATGCACATCCCTAATTGATAGCCAACTCCTTAGAAGTGGATTGTAGTGATATTTTAAGCAGGCTATTGTCTTCACTGTCTTACAGTATAATCAGTCATTCAGCCTATTTCAGTGGAGAAAAGTCCTCATTATGCTGTTTGGTATTTGTGCACCACACTGGACAAGGGATTCAAAAGAAGAGAGTTGTCTGTGGAGACAATCAAAATAATTATTTAGCAAGCTTGGCCAAAGTCAAGGCTAGAAGGCCAGCTCTACTGATATTAAGAAGTATAAGGTCTTTTTTAAGTGGAAAGGTTCCAACACTTCCAGCTATGTCTGTAAATGCAAAACATTCTGATAAGAAAACCTTCAGATATATCTTTGGCATTTCTGATCAGCAATTTCATGCTTTTTATTGACCGACAAACACAATATTTTTCAGTATTTCTGTCCTGTCTTGCTCTAACCCTGACACTACATCTGCCCTGTATTGGCAAGAAGGCATGTTTACAGATGTTACAAATCTCCTGTTGACTTAGTTGAAGTTTGCTCATATTGCAAATTAAAGTCGATGTCTAAACTGATAAAACTATCACAGACATGTAACCAGAAATTTAACCAATTAATCATCTAACAGCCTAGCAGAGTTAACTGATCACACTAATTAAAACAAGACGAACATATGAGCCTATGTTTGATAGGAATACATGCACCGAGTAGAGAAAAGTAGTGTTACATTTATGATAATCAAAATTAAGATGATTATTTACCCTGATATAGATTTTAGGTCATCTCGTCCAGTCCTAATGAGTGTAACCTACTTTTCAGGTTTTTAAAAATGGCAATAAAATTCTTTTAGTGTGCCTCTCCAGTACCTTCAAAACAGATTAACTGTAGACAAATGACATTCACCCCTTTTGACCTTGAACACTCATTACCATAACCCACATGGTGCCATTTGGAGGAATAATCTGCAACTTATAAGTTCTCCCATTTAGCACTGCATCAGTAAGAACACTCTACATCATGAGCTATAATGGCCATGTTACTGTAATGTAATCAGTAAGTGGTGAAATCAGTACTGTAAATGACGCCAAAGTAAACAAGGCCTTGGATCAGGCAGAGCAGAACTGCAGCAGACTGTCATCTGTTGGTTGTGACTCAGGGTAAATAATGACAATATGCCGTTGTACTTACAGTACAGCAGGCGTCGGTACTGATTCTCACCTTTGATCATTGACCTTATACTAACACACTTTATACAACAACACAGAACGACTGGGCTCTATCATGGGTTTGGTCATTTTAGTTCACCAACTGAACAGTACTTTTCAGGCCAGGAGAGTAAATCTGACATCCTGTGCTATGCCTTTCTGCTTATTGAGTTTAAATAATCTCCTCTGTAATTCTGTCATTGTCATCTCTGTAAGCCCGCTGAAGCTATAAATCATTTGAGACGCTAAGCCCTCCGGTCTTGGTTGGCAGATGTCTTTATGGCTAGCTACGCTGTGCTGCTACTGTACTGTACTGTGGGGTCACAAAACTCAAGAATGTTTCACAGTTAGAAAGGGGACAGTCTGCCATGGCTTCGTTGTTGACTTTTCAAAATTCTTATGACTTATGTCTGGTCTAAAAATGTGTTTGTATGTGTGTGTGTGTGTGTGTGTCCTTTCAGCTCACCACTGAGACAGCCATCCTCAACAGCCAAAGTGTGCCTGGTTTGTGGAGACGAGGCATCAGGATGCCACTACGGTGTTGTGACCTGTGGAAGCTGCAAAGTCTTCTTCAAAAGAGCTGTGGAAGGTAAAACATTACCCTGTGTTACACGCTGCAAATGAAGGAAACATAAGTAACTGAACTCTTTCACCACTTTGACAAGACATGAGTGCTGTAAATAAGGGAACCAGAAGCAAATTAAGAAACACATCTACCAAACTGAGAACACAGAGGAAGCACAAGGAAATGTCCTGCAAATACAGAGAGCATAAATGAAGTTACAACAAAACAGAAGTTTGTGGCACTGTTAAAAACGATGATGCTAGTAATTGGAAAAAGGCTGAAGCTAGGTGTGTCGGCAGTAATTGCGGTAGTGTCTTACTCGTGGAATCTGGGTGTCAAAACTAAAATAAACATTAATATCTCATTTTTGAATATCAGTGACATTCCTCAGTATTTGTGTTTCCAGAAACGGTATTAAACATAGCGTATTTCTGTATTTCTGGCAGAAGAACGCTACCGAGTCAGTGTTATGCTGTTATTCAACAACTGTCATCTTAACTGACAACAGTAACCTTCAGAGGTATTGGCATACAGTCTGCTTAATTTATTAACAGCAGTTTGTGGTGACTGCCGTATGCTATGTAGGTTTTAATTTTTGGTACAAAATTTTGGATTTTGGAAAATGTTCATGAGAAAATGTGTGCAAATTTTGTTTTCAATACATTTTTCCAAAAAACAAAAATCACTTTTTACTTGAGCGAACAGGGTTTGAAAAGTTCAGGCCAACAAGCACCAGGTGGAAAGCAAATAAGTAGCTTGTTTCTTCCATTTAAGGTGCATACAGTACCTATGATTTTGCAAGAATCGTTAATAATTGATGCTGTTGTATTTGTACAGCACTCTTATGCAACAAGCTGTTGTCTAATCCGTGGAAGAGGATCAGGGTCACTGTACAAAATTTATTTGAGTTCTGACTTTTTTCTCAGAAATCTGATTTCCACATATACTTTTTTGCTCAGACATCATTGTAATTACCAAGTACAGGCATTACATTCATAGAATGTGACCAAGTTGAGTGGCACATGAAGAAAAAAAAAAATTTGGTAGGCAGCTCTCCTGCAGCCCTTTATGTTATATTTAGCTTGGGGAAAATCTGTAGCAGCCAATAATGTGATTTTCATTTTCTGCCTGTTGCCTGAGGCGTTGGCCTAACTCGTTTAGATGAGTGCTTGAATGCAAAGCACTCTCTTAGAGACCCAGTGCAGGCGAGTTAAAAAAAACACACACAAGCAAACACACCTGTAAGCCAGCCACCAGGGCCTCTAGGTGATTTCATGACATTGGAGGAATTGCAGTCATTCCCAATCAAATCATGTCTTAATCTGATGATATTTACACACCATCATTATGGAGACCTGAAACCAGATTATGTGTCTAGGGTTATTAAATCAGACATGCCACTGTTCTTGCTTCAAGCGTGGCCAGCAGAGAGCTGGTGGCAGGCACTCAAGATCTGAGCGTTAGTCCGGTCAGGCTCTGGGAAGCTCAGATCTCTGTTATTAAAGCTCTGAAACCCTATTTGTCTTTCATATTTGGGCTGGACGATATAAACCAAAAATTACATCCCAGTATTTTCAGACTGAATGGCAATACACAACATATATATATATATATCTTGATATTTTCTATGAAGTAGACAAAATTTTCAGTTGCCAATTTCAGTAGCAGCAGCTGCACTGTACTGTATTACTGATGCTTCCCCAGTTAAACCGAACATTTCAAATAGATTTTGTTATGGTCATTAGGCATAATGCTGTAAGTGACTTCATCTATACGTATCTCTCTCTCTCTCTCTCTCGCTCTATACATATATATAGTCATCAACTCTTTAAACTGTGCACCCAGCCAGATGAAGTTGGTAACTAAAGCACTGCATCCTCAGCCACTTCTTCAGTTCCACTGCTTTGACAACGTGCTCCCATTGTTGGTTGTTATAGCAACCGGTCCCTTTTTCGTGGAGCTTCCAGTTTGTTAGAGCATCCTGCAGGTCTTCAGCTATATGCTCTCTGGTGCGATCTTGGTGGAAAATAGCTGGTTTGGAGACATGCAGTTTTCATCGCCCAGTCTTTGATTAACTATCCTGTCAAACTCATACATGGCTTGCATGTCCTGCTCGATCACATACGGCTTGTCAGCATGAAACGAGTCACTTTTGCGTGTTTGGTCAGTGAGGTTCTGTCTGACCTCAGTGACCATCTTGGGTCAATGGTTGTAGTAACTTTTTAAAGCTTTGTTCCACTGTTGCAGCAGAGACCATATCTTTAGCGATGTTGTAGGCCACCACCTTAGTTATATCACTCCACTTGTAACACACTTCTTTTGGGGCAGGAGACCTTTTGGGCTGCGAAAGCCTCACGGCTGGGGTTGCAGCAGACGTAGTTTAACACACTCTTCGTACTGCAGTATATAGCGCTGTTGTAAATGGTGGATGAGATCTGAAGTGCTTCCACATTTGGATGCAACCTGTTCATGACATTCTCTACAGATGACATAGTTTTGCTGTTCATCATAGCTCTTAAATCCAAATGGTAAAGCGTATGAGAGAAGAGAGATGCAAACATTGCCAGGCCATAAGGAAGAAACAAGCTACAGTATGTGATGCAACATCAAACTATATCAATATGTGGTATTGTCTCATCCTATAGCTTTTTGAAAATGTATCATTATACCTTAAAAAGTCAATATAGCCCAGCTCTATCTCATATGATATGACTAATTGTTGATTGCCTTTTAAATCCAGTGCATTGCTCTTTGCTTTCAAATGGATTTATGAGTATGTCTTTGGATTTGATTGGAGTTTACTCTTGGCTGTGCATTGCAACTATGCAAACTGTGAAAGTGTAGTATGGGCAACACTGCACACTGAAGTGATGTTATCAAGGCTGTGACATGTGCACCCTTCTGATATGCAAAGCAGGCTGTTGCCTTACTTGACCCCTCCACAGCTGCTGCCGAGGTGGAAAGAGAGAGGTAAGGTGGAGGGAGGCAAAGGATGGAAATAGTGAGAGAAGGATTTGCAAAGTGAAGAGAGATAGAGGACAGTGAAACAGATACAGCTAGGGAGGGGGAGGAGGAAGGACAAAGAAAAAGTCAGACGCAGACAGAGAGATAAAGAGAGGAGGAGCCGAAAGAGGGAGTACGAAACAGGGAGAGGGGCTGAAAGTGATGTGTCAGCAGTGAATGCCAGAGAGGTGTAAGTTAGGACGTGAGGAGATGTTTTACTCCTCCCCTCCCCCAGAATTTCTTCCTCCTTCTCCTCCTCTTTTTTCTCAAAGTTAAAAACTTAGAGTCGGCATGTGAGTGTGGGCATCTGTACAAGGGGAATAATCCAGCCCGGCACTTAATTTCTTTTGGCATCGCCTGCCTCAGGGGGACATAACTTTTCGGTCGACTGTAACTCATTAGATGACTAACTGGCTCACAGCCCTTTACTACAGCGCTAGTTAGCATTTCTGGAGTCATCAACAAATCAGATGCAATCCTCTGGCTGTGGAGGGTCTGTTTTGACCTTTATTCATGTCAGTGTTAGGTACCGTTATTTTACATCACAGCTGCTGGCGCAGCTATTCTTTGAAGTCTATATTTTAGGTTTAGATCTAGAACATCTGTTTGAAATATCTATTGGCCACATGAGCCTCATACTCTCCAAAAATGTCAACTTACAGTACTCCTCAGGAAAACGACTCTTCATTCCACTTCATTTTTGTTATATCTACCAGAAGGCACAGCCAACTGTACACTATTAGGTTTATAACCATAGACCAAGGAAATATATAAAAATGTTAAATCGTGGGCTGAGTACTCTCAGGCTGTGAGCTTTTCAAAATGCCATCCATTCATTCTTTAAGCATTCACAACACGGTACAAATGCAGACACATATTTCATGAAAAAGAAACATTCATCTACCTGCTTTCCTATTCAGTACAAGTCATCTGGTTACTTGTACAGTATGGCAGCTCTTATTGTACTCACACATTTTATCTACTGTCACATTTTAGATGTTCTTGCATAGTAAACAAATGTATAAAGTGGAAGTAACTTTTATGAAGGTTTTCCAGGTGAGTTGCTACTATCGACTCAAATGCCATGTGTAAACATGTAGCCAATTTATAGGCAATTTCTTCAGTATAAATGTTTATTGTGCACTTCAGAAAAATGCCTTCTCACGTAAACAACAGTTCAAAAGTTTGTGTTACTGCTAATTAAATGTGGAAATAGCTTCCTGTGTTCATACATGCTTCTCACCTGTATCCACTGCACTCACGACTGTTTTATTGATACAAGACGGCCGCACTGAGTAAACAGCTCCATGTGGAGCACATATGAAGAACTGAACATAAGCTTTTTACTCATATTTACATGTCATTAGTGGCTTGGCGGGTTTTCTTAATAATACTACACAGTTTTTAACTCATTAGCTGGTTTTGCTTTCGTCTCTTATTGAACTTGGAGGTTTACAGAGACATTAGTTGCCCTTTTTATGGCCCCACTGTGCTCTGTAATGTGGTTGTGTTGTAGTTTCCATGGTGCTTGTGTCAATTTAAAAACCTTTGGTACCGCCTCTGTGGGAGAGGTCATCTGAGGACACGGCTTGAACTGTTTCTGCTTTGACTAGCAGCTCTGACCTCCAATCACATTTTTCAGCTCAGGCTGAGGGGGAAAAAAAGGCCTCCCTTCACTGCTGGAGTGAACGCTTCAGGCTGTGTGTGTGTGAGAAGCTCATGTAACAGTGGCTGGAGAGAAACCATTCACATGTAGCAGTGCTGTCCTGATCCCAGCTCCCCCACATGGCTCACATCAGACTTTCTTCAATCATGCACACAGCATATAAGCTATGCACACACCACTTCCTCATGCCCTCACTTCCCGTGGCCGTGACTGACCTGCAGGTCTGATGCCTCTCCAGCGGATATAATCCGACTTCCATCTCTTTCTCCTCCCTGGTGATACTGTACCTTTGTTCTTTGACATCAATGCAAAAAGGATCCAGTGAAGGTATTGGGTTACACATTTTGGCTTCTATTTTCCTGCAACAGGGCGCAGTGCTAAACTTGCCCAATGTCCCAGCTGACATTGGGCAAGATGGGGGGTACACCCTGGACAGGTCGCCAGTCTATCACAGGGCTGACACAAAGAGGCAGACAGACACACACACCTACACTCACTCCTACAGGCAATTTAGAGTCACCAGTCAACCTAAGCTGCATGTCTTTGGGCTGTGGGAGGAAGCCGGAGTACCCGGAGAGAACCCATGCAGGCACAGGGAGAACACAGAAAGGCACCGGGTCGGCCCAGGCTCGAACTATGCCACCCCCGCGCTGTACCTGCAGAGTTAAATGAAATTACTTTACAATTGTTTTCCTTCAAAATACGCAGAAAATGACATTTTCAAAACAGCTTTGATGATAAGAGATGAGAGCACTGTCAAACAGATTCTTACTGCTTCTATCATAAACACCGTCTTAAGCGGATGCTTTGTACATTAGACACTTCCAAATACTGTACTGAGGACTATGTAATGACTAAAACCATTAGGCACAGTGCCAAGACAACAGAGGGGAAAGATTTTGTGAGAAGTCAATGCACAGGACAAAAGTTTGAGATAGTACATTATTATAGAATTAGAATCATTGGTAAACAAAATAACAGATTCTATTTACATCCTATTTTTAGTGCTAGTGCAAGGCAGTGAATTACATACTGTAGGTCCACTGGTAACAACAGTTAGCGCTACAAGAGGCTGTTTTTGTTATTTAGGTTGCATGAATGCCAGTGAATGAAGGTCATAGAGCTGACCGAATGGTTGAGTATAGATAACTGAGCGGCATTAATCAATGAAACTGACAGATTTCATTACATCCTTTTAGTTAAATGCCCTGGGTCTGCAGGACCATTTTGCAATTAAGAAGTTTGCTTCCCCCGCCAAATGCCATTCAGACAGTCACAGTAGTATTATTAATATGCGTCAACTACAGAGAGGCTAAAATCATAATCAAGGATTCGGCCACTTGTGCCTACCGGCTCTTTAAATAACTCGGCGTATTTCTGCACAGGCCTGAAGTCAGTCTGTCTGTTTTTTGTTTGGAAAGGAAACTACTATATCTGCATGGGAGGCAGAAGGGCTGCAGGGCAAATAACTTTTGTTAAAGTGGGGTCTCTACAAGAAAGAGTAATTCCCTTTCAGAATATCCTCCTAGCTGATACATGCAGGAGCTGACAGACAACAGAGGCTACTCAGCGGGTTGTTGCCAGATTGTGAGATCATTAGCTAAAAGGATACGTGAGTGGACTCCTTTAAAGAGCTCTGAAGGTTGGCCTGTATTGAATTGCGCACTGTGAAAGTAGAAGAGTTTTCAGAATGATGTCAAATATAATACAGTATCTGAGGAATCTTTATCGTTTCATGAAGTATTATATGAAAATATCTTGACAGGATTTTGCATTATTGAATATTTGTACAATAAAACATTAGTGATGAGAAGCACATGCATGGAAATATGAGTCAAAATGAGTTCATAAATAAACCTTTTTTAAAAAACAAAATTTTTTTTTTTCAATTTTGTAAGATGGTTTCCAAGGTAAGACTGAAAAAGTAACAATCATCAGGAAGCTCGCCACGTGCTAGGTTGATAAGCAAATGCACATATTCAGAGGTAAACATGCTGTGTGAGCGCGTGTAATGCATGCACACAGTGCATAAATAAACAACTTCTCTCGCTTTCAGATACACACAGCTGTGCACATACACACCGTTGGACTACGACTTTGGCTGTGCCATAAAGATTCATAGGAATGAGCAAAACAGTTGACAGGAAGGCTCCAGACTTTTCAAAAGTGCCATTTGGTCCGACCCATTCAAAAGACCATGAGCATGTTATGTGTGCATAGGTATGTGCAGTGGGGAAGGGGATGGCCCGTGTTGTGTTTCCTGTGTTGCAGTTTACTGTTTTTTAGAGCAAGAAAAATGGGCTTATGTAACGGTCATGTGATTTAGCCAGAAATAGTGGTGGGGCTACAGCTGCTGCCTCTCCTCCTGCAGCTTGGTTCCTTGGCTTTTGGCAGCAGCCAGACAGACACACTGACTACTCCCGCTATCTCAGAAAACAACTTCTGCTCAGTCCTACACACAAATACTGCACTCTAGATGCAATAAATGCAATGCAGAGAATGTACATGTGAGCAAAATGTGCGTGAATACCACACAGAAGCTCTCTTGCCACAACACTAAAGTCTATGCCAGAAATCTTGGATACTTCTAAAGAAACAGGGTGCAGGACAAACATGCAGGAAAATACAGATTAATATGTGTTGACAGGCGAACAGGGGCCATTGGCTTAGCTCTATAAGAGGTAATTTAGGTCACTATACCACACCATCTGGGTTGTGTAATGATTTCTCTGTGTATCTGTTGTACATTTGTGAAATCATATACAACATTAGCAGTTTTTTTTTAAAAATTGCCAGCTTTGACTGTGTGTGTGTTTCTGTGCGTGTGCATATGAGAGTGAGAGAGTGAATGACTGCATGTGTGCACGAGCATGAGCCTGTCTGTATGTGGGCGTATGGTGCTCTAAGGCTGGCGGACGTGTGGAGAAAGGGAAAAACGAGGGATGGGGATGCAAAAGTAGAGAAGAAGAGTGGAGGAGGAGATGAGCTGTACAGTGAAGAGCTATTGAAGCGGAAGGAGGTGCTCTGAAAAAGAAGATCATGGGGTTTAGCTAAGGGCTAGGCAGGAGGCAGGAGGGATTCTCGCCATGTTAGCATCACTGTCAGGAATAGCTACAGCCACTGTCATGGTTCCAGCAAATTCTAATACCCTCTTGCCATATACTGTATAATACACCATTAGTCATGCACCGTAGAATGCGAGAGCGTAATAATCACAGTTTCAATCGGTTTCACAGCGATAATCATGAAATGTAGATCTCTCATACCGCCAGGCTTTTCACAGGTTTCTATGTTGACCTACTGTATATTACGAACAGTCGCCAACAGAATCAGACATTTACGGCCTATCATGTAATCAAATATACTTTCTGCAATATGTTCAAAGCTACTGTTTTATCCTGACTGCATAAGCAAGTGACTTTAACTGCCCTCTTCACACCTGTGTTATATGTCAAGCTGCACCACCAAACTGATCCTGTGCCTTGTCTTTCTGTAGGTCAGCACAACTACCTGTGCGCCGGGAGAAATGACTGTATCATCGACAAGATTAGAAGGAAAAACTGCCCAGCATGTCGTGTACGGAAGTGTCTCCAGGCCGGGATGAACCTTGGAGGTGAAGAATCACACCCTCAGTATAGATTTGCCCTGTCACGTGTCTCAGATGTGACATTTGAGTCAGCTTTGCTCTGCTTATAAGAAATCATAAATACAGAGTCACAGGAGGCCCAGTGATGCTGAGTCACACAATGTTTGTGTATATCTGTGTGCATATTCTATATGCCATATAGTATATCTGAGCACAGTATACATAGTGCATCTACAGTAAGTGTAGCTCTACTGTACTTTATATGACGCCAGCTGACAAAGCCTGCACACACAGTTCAATGTTGTATTATGAAGAAACACTGTAGTTGAGAAGGATCTGGTTGATTCAGAAGGGAGAATTTTAAAAAATATATACTGTATGTATATTCATTTATGGCCACTGACCTATTCCAGTTCAGTGTCTCAGTGACATACACAAGGTTAAAAGCAGGTTTACAGTCCATTCGAAAGATTTAAAATCAGGGTTCTGTTTTGGGACCTAAATTATTTATATTATACATTAATGATATATGCAAGGTTTCTGATTTAGTGAAAGTGGTTTTGTTTGCTGATGACACTACCATATGGGCATCGGGTGAAAACCTACAGCAACTCTCTGGACGGGTTACACAGGAACTTGAGAAGATAAAGAAATGGTGTGATAGTAATATACTATCTCTGAATTTGGATAAAACTAAATTTATGGTATTTGGGAATCGTAGACTAGATAATGAACTTCAATTGAAAATTGGGGGAGCTAAAGATTGTGTATTTCCATAAGTGGGGTAAAACTATGGAATAATTTAAGCGCGGACATAAAAAATAGTAATAGAATTGACAAGTTTAAACATAAATATAAAGGTATGTGTCAATCAAGATATAAGCAAGAACAGGCTTAATGATTAATTAGATGGAACATTGTGGGTGTGGTGTATGAATGTTAATACTCTGTAATAATTCTTTAATATATTACTTGTGTGGTGTAGAACAAAATTATCTATGTAGAGACACTGCTTGCAAACCAATGATGGTAAGATGATGTCAGGGGGTAGGACTGGATAAGTCTGACTTCTTCCTACTCCATTCAAGCATGTACTAGGTATAAGCAAATTGATATTGGATTAGCATTTGTTGGATATGTGTAAAATTATGTGTGTTGA